TGCTGTATAAGGGTGTTCAGCTTCAATATCGTGTATTTCCATGGACGATTGGTTATAACCCAAAGGAGGAAACAACAAAAGCAGTGGTTTGGATATCGTTGCCGAATCTGTCACCAGATTTGTTTGCGATGCCTTCATTGTTGGCTATAGTATCTGCTGTAGGAAAACCAATTGCCATTGATAAGGCAACACAAACTAAGTCCAGACCTAGCACTGCTAGGGTGAAGGTGATATTAGACTTGCTTGACAAATATCCTACTCGCGTAAGGTTGCAAAGTGTGGATACAATTTCTGGAAAAGTACTGGAGGTTTTTCAAGAAATCGTTTATGATAATTTACCACTGTATTGTAATTGTGGTAAGAATCAAGGCCATGATGAAACTACGTGTCGAAGACTTCAGAAAAAAAAATCGTGATGAGGATGCTCAGATTGATGAAGAGCAGCCTCGTCAAGAACAAATTGGTGGTGCGAAATACAAGGGAGATTTGCGTCAGTTTTTGAATAAGAGGAGGGCCTTAAATGATGGTGATCGAACTGCTGGAGATCACATTAACCATACAGATGCTACAAATGTGTTAAGAGCTCTTCAAAGGGCTCATGAACACGCTGAAAATTTGATCAAGACAGCACATGTAACAACTATATCTATTGCTGCTTTGGTTTCTGTTGATACAGCTCTTGCTAACGCTTCTCATCATGAAGCTGTAGCTGGGCAGAGTAATTTACGACCAGTCTCATAGGATGCTATTAGAGATCGAAATATCATGGGGAAGGATAACGTTGACAAAGGTGCTGGTGAGAATGAAGAGAAATTACTCAGCTTGGCAAGCATGGCTAATGGTACTGTTGGTGAGGGAAGTAGGGCACGTGAAGGTGTTGTAGAGCAACATGATTTTGTTACTGCAACAGGTATGATGGCTACTACTGCTTCGAAAACAATTGGGGATCGAGCTGTAGTACTTTTTGAACCAGCGGAAAAATCAGCAGTTGTAGGTGAACAATTTGCTACAACGACCAAGTTTGAGTCAGTTGTGCAAGAAGTTAGTTTTGAGGCTGCTGGAGATATTGAATTAGGCGTTGAAGGTTTTGGGCAATCTCCTAATGACCAAAGAAAATCCAAGGATAAACAGGTTACTAAAGTAACCTTTCATCATAGTAATGCTAACAGGAATGGATAGGAACTTGAGAAAGGATATGGTGTAACTGGAATTCGTGGCAAACGAGATACTGGTGAAGTTGGTGGAACATCTGCTATCAACAACTCTACTAATATGTTAGAAGAAGGATCTCAACATGGGCAACAATCACCTGCTAAGGGCTGGTCTGTAGTGCATCGATCACCTAGCAAAAAAGGATATTCAGATCATAAAAATCTGGAGGCAGCAGCAGAGTTTAAGGTTTCTAACTCTTTTGACGCCTTGGTTTGTGCACATGAACATGGTAAGCAAGATCTTCAGCATAAGGAGCTAAATGCAGATTTAAAAATTATGCAACAGAGGTCTCTAGCCAGTACAAAAAATCAACAAAATTCTGGTTTTCCTTTGGACATTGTGCCAGTTGCGAGGGAGCTAAAGGGCAATCATGCACATAGCTCCAATGCTCCGGCCTTGCAGTTCTCCAGTCCACAGGTGGAAAAAATAATCAAACATGCACATAACGAGATGATGCTAAACACTAATATGGTTAAACAACCATGGGTTACATTGAACACTTCCGTCTTTGAAGTACCATCACAATCGTTGGACTCTTGTGGCGAACATGGTGGTGATCAGGGACAGTTGGTGTTGTCCACAGGAAACAACAATGAGTTAACTAAAGAAAATGTGAGGGCAATGGCAATTAAATCTAAGTTATGGGATGATCAACCTAAGTATGATGATGAAGAAGATTTGGGTGTTGATTTTGCGGAGGATTCTTCTGATGAAAGTGAGAGGTGTAGTGGAGATGATGAGATGTTATCAGTAGGATCACCATCCTTTCCTAATATTGGAAGTTCTTCTAAGTTAGGATCAGGAAATAAGCTTGATCCTAAAGCTCCTGATTTTATCCCTAAGTCTAGGCAGCAACAAAAGACAAATGGAACAAGGTTGCAAGAATTTACAGCAGCTAATCCGCCTGGGCAGCAGCAGACCATGTCGAGCAGTACAACTGGTACTCTTCCAGTAATAAATCAGACTGGACAACAGCAGCAACAGTTGAATGCAACAGCTGAGCAGCAAATTCAATTTGCGCAAGAACTTCAACAAATTGTTACAACCACTCCAACTATATCTTTGGAGGATAGAAAGCTTCTGGACGCATTGGTAATTTCTAAGCCTCTTAATTTGTTAATTCCATCTCAAGTTTGCAGCACTGGACAGCCGAGCAAGGTTAGAAATAATGTGCAAAGGGTTCAACAACATCAAGACAAGACAGTCATAACAAAGGCACAAGATGCAAATGTACTGATGACTCAAAACACTACCAAAAACTTGCCAAATACAGTAAACTTTGGAAGGGACATTTATGAAGAAGGAGAGGAAGATGAAATGTTGCAAAAATGTCATGCAGATGCAGTAAAACAAGGTGATTTATTACCAATGCATAGCGGTNGCAATCATGCACATAGCTCCAATGCTCCGGCCTTGCAGTTCTCCAGTCCACAGGTGGAAAAAATGATCAAACATGCACATNTTTTTAAATGTTAGGCGACCTCCAATGAGAGTTGCCAAACAAAAGCAGGCTGCCCCAACTACATCAACGAGGTCCAACCGTTCAAAAAAGAAATGATGATTTTTGAATATATTTTGAACACGGGTGAGGAAAACAACAAAGAATTACAAATTGAAGATTTTATAAGCNAAGTACCATCACAATCGTTGGACTCTTGTGGCGAACATGGTGGTGATCAGGGACAGTTGGTGTTATCCACAGGAAACAACAATGAGTTAACTAAAGAAAATGTGAGGGAAATGGAAATTAAATCTAAGCTATGGGATGATCAACCTAAGTATGATGATGAAGAATATTTGAGTATTGATTTTGCGGAGGATTCTTCTGATGAAAGTGAGAGGTGTAGTGGAGATGATGAGATGTTATCAGTAGGATCACCATCCTTTCCTAATATTGGAAGTTCTTCTAAGTTAGGATCAGGAAATAAGCTTGATCCTAAAGCTCCCGATTTTATCCCTAGGTCTAGGCAGCAACAAAAGACAAATGGAACAAGGTTGCAAGAATTTACAACAGCTAATCCGCCTGGGCAGCAGTAGACCATGTCGAGCAGTACAACTGGTACTCTTCCAGTAATAAATCAGACTGGACAACAACAACAACAGTTGAATGCAACAGCTGAGCAACAAATTCAATTTGCGCAAGAACTTCAACAAATTGTTACAACCACTCCAACTATATCTTTGGAGGATAGAAAGCTTCTGGACGCATTGGTAATTTCTAAGCCTCTTAATTTGTTAACTCCATCTCAAGTTTGCAGCACTGGACAGCCGAGCAAGGTTAGAAATAATGTGCAAAGGGTTCAACAACATCAAGACAAGACAGTCATAACAAAGGCACAAGATGCAAATGTACTGATGACTCAAAACACTACCAAAAACTTGCCAAATACAGTAAACTTTGGAAGGGACATTTATGAAGAAGGAGAGGAAGATGAAATGTTGCAAAAATGTCATGCACATGCAGTAAAACAAGGTGATTTATCACCAATGCATAGCGGCAAAGGTAAGAAGACTCATACAAGGAAAAATAGTTGGGACGACAAGGTTAGTGATTTTTTAAATGTTAGGCGACCTCCAATGAGAGTTGCCAAACAAAAGCAGGCTGCCCCAACTACATCAACGAGGTCCAACCGTTCAAAAAAGAAATGATGATTTTTGAATACATTTTGAACACGGGTGAGGAAAACAACAAAGAATTACAAATTGAAGATTTTACAAGTTTGGAAAAGAAGGGACAAGATTTTAATTCCTACTACATTCTATTTTATCATTATATAAGTATTATCATTTGTAATATCATCACAGAGTATGTTATAAACTCTGTGATGATCATTGAATATTTGGTATTCTCCAGTTCTTATTTTTTACATGCTTGTTAGTAGGTGAGGCCTTTTCTTTGCCTCAATAGGATTAGTAAGGTAAGGTTTAGCCCGGTTAGTGTTGCCTTGGTCCTATGCCTTTGGAAAAATATCCACACGGCTATGAGATTATATGCCCTCGTGAGACATTGCCGGCAGCTACACCATGAATCCTCTACATGAGGCTGCCATCATAAGGCAATGTGAGACGCAGATGAGTGATTATATAGCCAAGGCATATGGGTAACAATACCGGTGCTATTGTCCCCCTTATTTGTACTTTTCCTAATTGTTGTGTTTTTCTTTTCTTTTATTAATAAAAAACTAGCCCTAGGCGCTTGCCTAGTGGATTGCCAAAAAAAAAAAGTCAATCAGTGGTACAGTTAACGATACCGTGCCTTTCCCTCTCAAGTTCTCCACTTGAGAGTACTAGTCTAGACCCTCATAGAAACCACACTCTGATTTGAAATGTACATGCATTATGCTAAACCTAGTGTGAATTGAGATGTCATTGATGCATCAACTCGCTTAGATGAACCTTGTCTAAAGTCCAACGGGATTTCCATAATCCTAAAGGACAACATCATATTATGTGCATTACTTGGAGAAAACGTGCCAACATCTGGATCATTATTGCGTAAATTGTCGAATCTGGAGGGGGAAAGGGCCAACTATTATTTGTTTGCAGAAAATGAAGCATGAAATCCCTAGGTTTGGTATGCTCTAGAATATCCCGCCTTTGCTAATTGACTGGTGGAACGACCTTGCACCATGCGACAGAAATCATGTAAGGAGAGTATTGGATAACTTGCCATCTTTGTTGAATATTCAACCCAATATGGGACTAATTGAGGCAGCCACCACGTTCTGGGATGAGAAGAGAGTTATTTTACAATTTGGCAATATAGAAATGACTTCTCTCTTGGAAGAAATAGAAGGTTTCGCCAAGTTACCATGGGATAGTCCGGGCCTATTGGTGCAAGAAAATCGCAACCCATGGGGTTTTCTGAAGATGTTGTGTTTTAAGAAGAATGACAAACTGGTCTGCCTAAAGAAATCATACATTCCTTTTGAATTTTCATACGAACGGTATGGACATAGCAAGTCATATCGCCTGCATCATGAGGAGCTAGCCATTACCTCTTTAGGATGGGTGCACTGCTGGGTCTATGTCTTCATAGTCTGTTTCTTGGGTTTGTTGATCTTTCCAATGCAAGGAGGAAGAATTCACACTCGTTGAGCCATGGTCGCTAGGACCTTAATTGAGGGTATCGAAGGGCAAAAATACACTATAATCCCGATGATTGTATATGCGATGTATCATGCTCCGGATTGGTGCAAGTATGTGTTCGGACACTTCGAGGGTTGTAATCTCTTGCTACAAGTTTGGCTACTAGAACACTTTCAAAGGGATGATTATTGCCATGAGCTTTTCTATAGGCCGCTTAAT